TATCATTTAGCAAATTCCGGCGATACTTTTGTATTGTGCCCATTTGTCGAATGCAACATAAATGTTCATCTAGAGTCTTAAATTCTGCAGGACCATAGTTCTCTTGTAAAGCTTTAACAAGGTCCTCCCAATTCAGCAGTGTACGCTCACTATTAATCCATGCAAAGAGATCAAGTGCATCACCCTCCAAATACATAGCTGCAACATCTACCTTTAGATCATTTGGAGTTTGATAGTTCCGAAAATATTTTTCCACCTTCAAAATCCAGCCACGAGGATCTCCTTCTTCAAATCGAGGGAATTCCATCTTTATGTGTGGCCTATGAGATGGATTCTTCAATCACCAAGGCATATCCACGTCAACATCAACATCCTCGACCCAAGAAAACCTTCTGGTGTGACGAGTACCCATATTACGTTCTGGACCCTTTCCTTTAGCAGATGTACCTTGATTAGCATCAAGTTGAGTACCACTCAAGACTGCATCTAATGCTTCCAAGCGTGATGTTATAAATGTTAATTGCTAGACAAGGTGATCATTCGAGGGCTCACTAGGATGATTTGTGACTGGTTGTGCTGGTGGTTCATCAGAAGAATGTGTAGATCCCACCATCTTGGATCTTGCTGCTCTCATACCAAAATGATAGAAACTAAGATGAAATGAGATGAGAATGAAACTTTACTAGTTGAATAAAGTGCAAGAATCTTAAACATTGCATTAACCAATAACTATGTTCGTTTGGAGTGGACAAATCTCCAGTTACAAACAACAACAACAACAACAACATACCCAGTGAAATCCCACTAGGTGGGGTCTGGGGAGGGTAGAGTGTACGCAGACCTTGCCACTACCTCGTGGAGGTAGAGAGGCTGTTTCCGAGAGACCCTCAGCTCAAGTACATCAAATCCAAGTAAAAGGAAAGGAAAACAGTGTATAAAACATAACATCCAATAAGAAAGGTAGTATATAATCAACAAAGGAGACAATAACATCAATAAAATAATGTGAGAAGTGAAACGCAATAAACAACACAAGGCTATAGGTATCACAGACAAGAACTGCAAGTGCAAGGCTAGGACTACTACAAACGCTAACAACCCATACCCTCGCAAGAAAAGACAACACGCTAACCCTACTAACCTTTCAACCTTAATACGCGACCTCCACTCCTTCCTATCTAGAGTCATGTCTTCGGTTACAAAGATAATTATAATACTTTTCTTCTGTAGATTTCTCCAAAATACACATTTATATTGAACATTAAGATAACTCCTAATATATAGAGATAGAAATAGTTATTGCCGTAGATAACTGCTGTCGATAATAACTTCTTATATTTTATCCTATTTAAAACAAAGAAACTAAGATAGATTATCTCCACATGCTTGTCTAGATTTCTTCTAGAGTAAACCCGTAAAGGAGCATTCGAATCACAATCACCCAATTCTTCTTAAAGGCTATTGATACCACATTCTCGTCTTGTTGTTTCTACCCATAGTTTGTAACATTTTCTATATTTTTGTATGTTCATATTTAGCACTTTGTATGTGTCTGTTGGTGATATTGGATTGTGTTAGGGAGAAGACATAGCAGCTAACCCACCTTATAGGAAAGGGGTTCAAATGATCTGCTTCATCGGGAAATTGTTATTTTTATGTGTGAATTTATTCGAAAAATGGAAACTAATGGATATTTTAGATTAGCTAAACCCGCTTGGCAATAGATGGTGATGCAATGCAGTGGACAAGAGGGTTCAAACTAAGATCATGATTTCAATCTCGTCTAATAGCGATTAAGAGAATCCAATTTCCCAAAAATCTAAAGGTTCCTCCACAAGGTTCGTCAACATTGATAATTTTTTTTCTTTTTAAAATGCCCCTTGGCTAGTGCTATATATTGCTAGATTTACAACACTACATTTCCTTTAATGTGTGGTTGTTTCTTTTATTGCAAGTTATTAGTTTATTGTTTTACAATTATATTCTTTAATTTATTTTATTTTTTGTGTTTCAAGTTGTTAGTTGATTTCCAAATTACAAGTTTTCAAAAAAGAAAAAAAAAGTTGTTAGTTAATTTCAAACCTTAGGGTATGACATCAATATTTGCATGTGTAATTAATTTTCAATCAACGAGAGCATTGTAAATTTATTACCCTAAACGTCTTTTCTTTTGTTTTTTTCTATTTTTCTTTCTCGATCAAATAAAAAGTTACTCTAATTAAAGTCTATTTTATTTTTAAGAAATTAAACTTTTCTACGAAGTGAATTTTGGTTCTCTTCATTTATCTTGCTAAACATGAGTGTATTCATCAAGGTAATTTACAATTTGTTAAAACTTGTGTTTTATTGAATTTTTTTGTTTAGCTATGTTTCTTTAATTTTCTAATTAATTTAGTTTAGTTCATAACTCTATTTTTTGTAGTCTCTTATTTGTAGGAACTTTGTCCTTTATACACAAGAAAGCTATTTTAGATTTCATTACATTTCTTAAAGTTATTAGATTTTAAATTTATTAAAAATTTCTATCCAAAATTAACAAATTACTAATTGGTTGAAGTTGTGAAAGAAGTTCCTTACCTTTTGTTTTGCTAGTAGGCTGGTGCAAACTTCATTCTTAGACCACTGGAAGACACCCAGGACTATACCATGTCGTGAAAGAAGCACATTGGACGGGCGTGCTTCGACCGTTGTTAAACTACTTAGATATTTTTTTAAAATTTTTTTTAAAAAAAGAACTTAAAATGACTACTATCTTGATTGTGATCAATGCTACTTATAGCATACTATGGTTTCTGACTGAACCTGCTCGTGTAATATCTTGGGTAAGGTCAACCCTTCTTCATAATTGCTAAATTGTAAAAAATGATTTAGTGGAGGACGGGACTATGATTATCCTCTATAGGCTAAGTCTTGATAAAAAACGTTGACGAGCCAGGGATGACAGTTAGTTAAAGTGCACTTAGGCTTACACTTGTCTAAGGTAGGCCACAAGAAAACAATATAGAGTTGGGAACGTATAAGAACTCTGGAATGGAAAAGAGATATAACTCTAGTTCCTTTGGAATCGGTAGTCAATCAAAAACAATTGAAAGATCAATGAATTGATGTTGATTCATTGCTTTTGTGATGATTGGGCGATATCTATCACCTTTACAAGATGTATTCCCTTATATTACAAGAAGTCGACTGTTAACAAGCTCAATCATCTATCTGATGTTAGAGATCTACTGTTTACAATAGGACATTAAAATAGTGTAGTGTGTGATACATTTGACCGACTCCTATTGCACATGGCTAATCATGTTGTAAGATGGCGTTGTGTGCGAGTGGTTAAAGGCTTTAGGCTGATTAGCTGGCTGACTCGATATGTTCCTAAGATAGTGGTTGGCAAGTTCCGCGATGCGTCTTGTCGCTAATGAATCAACGCAATCGCGTATCCAATCCAATTGAGGACCCAGATCTTGGTGCTAAGAGAAGGATGCCTTCTTTAAGAAAACACTATTTCACATAGGTTTGCTCAATTATTTATATGACAATGCTAGCATTCTTCTAAATTGGGCCAGAGCATCTCTGATCCTTTCTAAACAGCAGTTACTACTTTAAATTTGAAACATCATGGAATAGTGATAATTAGTGAATGTACGAGGTTTAAGCAAGTTATATTGATAAATACCTTCTCATCCCATACCCTTGGTATTCATTTGATGCTTTGAATGATTGAGTTCCTAATTCCTTGCTAATCTAAATTGATCACACATCTAGGAAAAGTCTGCTTTGAATATATGGCATGTATATTCTTTATAAGTAACATATTATCATGAAAAGCTTTGCTATTTTGTTCACTTGGATAGACTCACTCTTAAATGGGTCTGTATCTGGAGGAATTGTGGACTTCATGCTATCATTGAATTATGAAAAACTATCTAATTATACAAACATTTCTACCATATTTACTAATTCTCTCTATAGTTTGAAATTATTACATATTGTCTCACTAATTAATAATTGCATATCAAATTTCAAGTCAAACACATCTAGATACATGCATTTTTGATACCTGCAGATTCAATCTAAAATACAGATACATAGGGAGAGATGCGAGCGAGATAAGAGAGAGGTGAGCGAGAGAGTTAGCGTATCCTAGATGCATATGAATCGCATTAGATATATGTATTTGAGATCCGAGATGCATTTCAGATACATTCTGAAATACCGATACATAGGGAGAGAGGTGAGTGAGAGAGGGAGAGAGGCGATTGAGAGAGGAGAGCGGCAAGCGAGAGAGTCAGTGTATTCCATATACATGGGAATCCACTGGGATACGGTGTACTTGGAACAAACTACACCTAATTTTGACTTGGGGACCGAAATCTGACATGAATGGTAATTTTGAAAACTCAAGGCACGTAGTTAGACCCTAAGCTAGTGGGATTTGTGTTGTTTATCCTTGATTATCAGCTTCATTGATGATGTTAGTGTCCTAAATCCTTTGTTATAATTTACTGCTCAAAATTTTGTTATCTTGACTAGTATGAAGAGTATTAACTATTTTCTCAAGTGTATTCATGAAACCTTCTTCAATTCCCGCTGAACTCTCATTTTCTTACATTTTTCTTTGTCTGTCCTTACATTCATGCTTGGTAAGCAAAAGTCAAATGGCTGGACATCCTTGGTAAACCACGGTTTTGTTTTCTCCAGTACTTTACCTCAGTGTGACAAAATGGAACTGACCTGTCACCTGTCTGTATGTTAATATATCTGGCAGCTTTCATCTGATATCTGGCTTGCAAAAAATAAAACAGGACATTTAGCCTTATACTAGTTTTTTTTTTTTACGATGGGAATATTTATAACTAAAAGCTGATTGACCAGTATTTAGTTCATAAATATCTTATAGTCGTAATAATATGCTCCTTTGTGGCAATTGGTTTTGGTTTCAAAGGATATCAGAAGGATGAACTGACATCTATATTTGGCCTTCATCTCAATTTAATGTGCAGATGGCTGCCATGTGTAATGTATCAGCAACAGAGACTGCAATAATTTATGGGCTGGAACCAATATGGGGTGCTGGGTTTGCTTGGTTTCTCCTTGGTGAGAGATGGAGTTTAAGTGGATGGATTGGGGCCGCCCTTGTAATAGGTAATATCGATTCCCAGTTTCAGTATGCAATAGGAAATCATTCAGTGATTTGGTTCTTGTAAGACTGTCCCTATCAGTTTGATTTGAACTGTGAATAACATGATTCTACTCACACTTTGGCTCAAACTTAGGAAAAAAACAAGGTTTTGTTTTACAGGATCATAGCTCGGTCTGAGGTTTATTCCACTTGGGAAATATCTGCAAATATTTTCATGATTCCATTCCTATCAACTTCTAATTATATATTCATGTAGGTGGAAGTCTATCAGTGCAGATACTTGGAGCTTCATCTTCATCTGTGTCAGGACAAGTCGAAAAAGTTATTCAGGATGATAAGTTATCAATTTCACATAAAGGGAACAATATTCATGCTTCACCACTTGTTATTAGCTGCAAGGAAGATCCAACAGACTTGTTGCGCAAGTCATGAATGTTGATGTTTTTTTTTTTGCTATGTATATATAGGTGGATATTGTACAACTATTGTGACTCCTTTAATCTAGAAATATATTTTCTCACCAGACCACATGTGTGCATGTACATAACAATACAACTTTTACCGATGTATCCTAATTTTCCTCTTCTTAATTTCTAAGAAATGTTTGGTGAGATACATGAAAATAAGAGAACGTTTTAACT